TAAACATGCAGCATCATTCAGACTGTTACTTTTCTAAACACCTCCAATTCTGTCTTATAAAAATATTGTTTTAGTCCACAGTTCTTCACTTTATATTCAAAAACTTTTTTAACTTTTGTTTTGCTCTCCATGTCGTAGCCACAACACTGTCTGTCAATGCTTTCCTACATTTTGATCGTTGATGTCGTCCTCGAGTCACACAAAATTCTGTAAGAAGATAAAGATTATATTGTCAAATGATTTCGCTGTAACTCTGCGAGTCATGTCACCTGTTTTGTTCCCCCAAGTCTTTTTAAGCAATTCGTACTTGGTCATAAGCAGAATTACTTATGTTTCTTTCATACTTATACTCTGTTACGACGACCATAAAGTGTACAAAGTTCTGTGAAGAGATGAAAAATACCCCGTCTTAAAGGTTTGACTTACACTTTGAAAATTGTATGGTTTTGGACAGACATTTCCTGAAACATCATCCGAAACCTGGCCGAAATTTCTTGGAAATCTTCTGCTTTGCTCGCCATGTAATATTATAGGCACTATTCCTGAACGCCTTTCTTACTTCAGATCTGTTATGTCGGCCATATGTTGTACAAAATTCTGTAATAAAATGAAAAATGTCGATTTAAAATCTCTTTAAATGACTTCCAAACTTCTTCATATTTCGCTGCCTTTCCCTCCAATTTGCAATAGCGACATAATCACTGAGAATTTTCCTCAATCTTGGTCTCGTTTGACGGCCTTTGGAAATACAAAATACTGCAAATACACAATTAAACTGTTTCAGCTGAAAAATTATAGTTTAAGCTAAATTGCGATATAAACATCAATTAAAGAATAAAGCTTGACATCTCTAACTGATATAGCCACCGACTTACAAGTTAGTTTGCCTCATAAGTTTAGTCTCGTCTACATATCAAATTTTCGTACATTAAATTTGTGTGTGTTAAGTTTGTTTCATTGCATATGGTTCCCAAGAGTTATCTTGTTGTTTTTCCCCAAAAAATTATTTAGACAACTATGAAGTTACTATGTTAATAATCGGTTTGGACTACGACAAAAGTCCACTTGTAATGAAACTGTGACTAAATTTAAGGGGAAAATCCGTAAGTAATATGAATATCAAGTTGAATATTTGCTGTCAGTTGAATCCCTTGTTCTGCTGTGGGGACGTTTATATATCTTCCATTATAAATACAAAGGTAATTAAGCACTCAAAGCATCGAATGATCTACACATTTTTGTATGGCTCTCGTACAGTTAAGCGAACGCACATTACTATATTATAATTTTTATAATATTGTAATATATCTCTCAACATATTTCACTCAAGATTCATTGTAAATACTCCTCAAAGATACAGGCTTGCAATTTAATACGCGGACGCGCGTTTCGTCTTCATACGACTCGCAATACGATAAATATACTGTAAACCAACTTATTTTCGCGGATACTTTATTTCGCGTTTTACCCTTTCTATATAGATATAAGAAGATGTGGTATGAGTGCCAATGAGACAACTCTCCATCCAAGTCAAAATTTATAAAAGTAAACCATTATAGGTCACAGTACGGTCTTCAACACGGAGCCTTGGCTCACACCGAACAGTAAGCTTTAAAGGGCCCCAAAAAATAACTAGTGTAAAACCATTCAAACGGGAAAACCAACGGTCTAATTTATATAAAAAACGAGAAACGAGAAACACTGATGAACCACATCAACAAACGACAACTACTGAACATCAGATTCCTGACTTAGGACTAATCCACTTCGCGGCTATTTAATTTCGCGATTTTCTAATTCACTTGATGTAGTTTAATAAGGAAAGATCCAAGTTTTACATATTCGCGGCGATTTATATTCGGGTTATTTTTCTACTCGCGAATGTCGCGAAAATAAGTTGGTTTACAGTATCTATTTGATAGCATATGCATCATTCATTAGAAAGGTTGAGAGTCATGTTGTTTTTAAGGCTATAAGGTGTCCTTTTTTAAGATAAGATTTTACATATTCAAATATGAAAGTAGTATACCAACAGGGCAGTCTAAGTACAAATTAGAAGGTGCATGAGACATCGGAATTGAATGAACTCTAAACGTGAGACACTTCCTCTGGTATTCAAAAGTCAAGAAATCATCAACCGTCTTACCATTCAAAAGTCAAAATAAACACCTGTCAAACCATTCCAAAGTAAATAAGTTTAGAAATCTTCACCCGTTATAGCATTCCGAAATCAAGACTCATCATCCGCCATACCATTCTTAAGTCCAGAAATCATCATCAGACATACCATTCCAAAGTAACAAATCATCCTCCGTCATATCATTCCAAAGTCAAGAAATCTACACCCATCATATCATTCCAAAGTCAAGAAGTCATCGCCCGTCAAACCATTCCAAAGTCAAGAAATCATCAATCGTCAATTCATTCATAAGTCAAGAAATCATCAATCGTCAATTCATTCCAAAGTCAAGAAATCTTCACCCGTCATATCATTCCAAAGTAAAGAAGTCATCACACGTCAAACCATTCCAATGTCGAGAAATCATCAATCGTCAATTCATTCATAAGTCAAGAAATCATCAATCGTCAATTCATTCCAAAGTTAAGAAATCTTCACCCGTCATATGACATATCATTCCAAAGTAAAGAAGTCATCACACGTCAAACCATTACAAAGTCGAGAAATCAGCAATCGTCCATTCATTCACAAGTCAAGAAATCCTCAATCGTCAATTCATTGCAAAGTCAAGAAATCTTCACCCGTCATATCATTCCAAAGAAAAGAAGTCATCACACGTCAAACCATTCCCAAGTCGAGAAATCCTCAATCGTAAATTCATTCATAAGTCAAGAAATCATCAATCGTCAATTCATTCCAAAGTCAAGAAATCTTCACCCGTCATATCATTCCAAAGTAAAGAAGTCATCACACGTCAAACCATTCCAAAGTCAAGAAATCCTCAATCGTCAATTCATTCATAAGTCAAGAAATCATCAATCGTCAAACCATTCCAAAGTCAAGAAATCTTCACCCGTCATTTCATTCCAAAGTAAAGAAGTCATCACACGTCAAACCATTCCCAAGTCGAGAAATCCTCAATCGTAAATTCATTCATAAGTCAAGAAATCATCAATCGTCAATTCATTCCAAATTCAAGAAATCTTCACCCGTCATATCATTCCAAAGTAAAGAAGTCAACACACGTCAAACCATTCCCAAGTCAAGAAATCATCAGTCGTCAATTCATTCCAAAGTCAAGAAATCTTCACCCGTCATATCATTCCAAAGTAAAGAAGTCATCACACGTCAAACCATTCCAAAGTCAAGAAATTATCACCCGTTGGACAATTCTAAAGTTAAGAAAGTATCACTCATAAGAAAGATAATTACTGAAAATGAAAATGTTCTTATGTTTCTGTTCACTACTTAGACAAGAGATATGCATGAAAAAGGAAGTAAGTGTGATCTGGTAACCAAATTAGATTATTATGATATATTATTGACGCTACCATAAGTGGCATCTCGACGTCGTTTTGCTGATGACAAGTAAAAACTACAGTGATAAGTTGCATTCAGTAATGATCACTATAAAAAAAGAGGGCGGGCCGATTGCGGGAACGATAAGTGGAACATATATCCTTGTTCATCTGTGACACAGATTTTCCATAACGATCTTCCAAATTATGAAGTCATCCGTTTAACTTTCGAAAAGATGACTTGAACCATAGATGGCTAAATACATCTTTGCCTCAACTATACCATAACGAGGCATTGACTCAATGGCTTCCTTGTAAACGAAACACTATATTAAAGAAATATAGTATAGGAAAAATTCAATCCCTTGAATATTGTATTTACTTGGAGAAATATAAATAGTAACAGGAATCTTGGACTAATACATATAATTCATCTATTGGTCCAGTCTGAGACTACTGATAACCATAACTATGTGATATATTAGGCTCAAGTCACCAGCAATGATGATTAAAACGTGTTTCCCCAGTGACAACATGGAGTTGAAACCTTAGTTTTTTAATAATTTATAGATTTATAAACAGACAATTTAAGAAAGGTTGGTTATAAATCATGTCAGTTCCATATACTTCTGATACTAAAGAAACAGAGACATATATCTAAAAAATATGATTTAGGGTTTTATTGGAACATGTGGCATCAAAGTCGCCACGTTTGCCAACCAATCATCATAAAAAGAGGGAACTTTGCAACATTTTCGTTTCTTTTTACTTTCATACAAACTAAATTTAAAGATTGACAAATCATAATAGTATAAAATATTATCTCACTTCCAAAACCCCAAAAAGAATGCTTATAAAGTAACTTTCATAAATTATTCCTGACATGTTTGCTTTAATTTTGTAGATGATGAAAATGTGAAACCCAAAACATAGAATGCAATTGCTCCCTAGGAGGCGTAAGTTGTGGTAAAATGTTAACAGACTGATTGTGTGGCAGTGGTGGTGTGATGTATGTATGGATTCATAGAAGGTTTTTATTCACTCCAATGTGTGATGCTGCTTGTGACATGTAGAACATTAAAAGAGGAAGCTCTATCTAAGTGATTCATCTGACAAAGGTGGAATGTATAAACTTGGTAACAGGAAACAGGAGGCAACAGCTCACACTAGTCCATAAGGCCAGCTAAGCTAAGCTAATTAATTTTTATTGTGGAGGAGCATGTTCTTCTACCAACACTAAAGGCAATTTAAACATTTTCATTTCAACATGAAATATAGGTCATTCCATATAAATATATATATACTGTGAACAGTTTACATCTTGTTGCTCTTTATATAGTAAGACATAAAGGCATACATATGAGCAAGGGGCAATCAAAATCATAAGTTAGCAAAGGACAAAAAAAAAGGATGAAAAAAACAACAACAAAAAACCAATTAAGAGTCCACAAAACAGCACATTGAAATAAAAAGTGTGCATGTAAAATCCTATATATTTATGAATCTTTGAGACATGTTAAATCAGTTCTATATGCCTTTTATTTACTGAATTGATAATCCACAATTTACAATATGTTAGAAATGTTGTCATATGTACATACAGCTTTGATTCATTATAATTGATACATAAATCTCTCATAAACTACAATTATGACAATATGAAAAAGTTTAAAAGTAATTATAGATATATTAAGTGTATAACATTAAAAAACACCAATCATATATCATATTCGATGAATCTGAAAATGAGCGAAAAATTGAAATGGCAAAACAAATCTGCTAAAACAAAATAAAAGAACAACATTCTAAAATTTTATAATTTACTTGTCCCAATTTCACAAGTAGAACTGTTAGCTATTGCTAACTAATGACGATTTAACCCTGGTATCTATGATGAGTTTATGATACCCCAACATTAAGTGTTAGATAAGCAAGAAAATTAAGAGCAATGGATTTGAAAATACATTACACGGTACAGCCTGTTCAAATTAAGCTGGATAACAAATTGTAGTAAGCACTTGTTTGTACTTTCTTAGAAAAATGCAACAGAAATTTCATACATGGCCATTTAGTGTTAGAAACTATAAAGTAGTGCAGTATTTTTAGGCTATTGATGGTCACCAATGCAGTTTTACTAAAAGAGTCGAGCAAATCAAGTACAGTCGATTCTGAAAACCCCATCATTAAGCATATGGTAATGTGCTCGCCTCCAGAGCAGCAGGTAGTGGGATCTATTCCTGGCTGTGTCAAACCAAAGACTTGAAAATTGGTATTTCGTATTTGTCCACTAAGCAAGCAACATTTATGAGTAAGAGAAATGACTTGAGTCAGAATCATGTGTCCAGGTAGTGTGGCAAGTCTTTCTGTGGACTGTTACATAATGAACGAACACATTAAAATCCAGTTCCAAATGTCTTTTACAAAGCAGAATTCTTATTCATCTCAAATCAACATACTCTCTTTCTGAACATACATTTGAATTACCATTGATGTTAAACGTTATCTGAAAGTTGATCAGACTGACAAAATAAAATTGAGATATTTTTGTCAGTCCAATCAAATTTCAGAAAAATTTGCATGAATTTGAGATATCAGGATTAAATCTAATGCAAATATATATTAACTGGGACAAATATATTACTTTCAGATAATAAGAATTTTGACATAAAAGAGTTAAACATTACGAGAGTCAATTGTACATTTAAAAGCAATATCTGTGCTCCTTTACAGACAACATAGCTTTTCAAATACAATCAAGTTCATTATAAATGAAATTTCAATTATAAAAATGTTTCATTGCATTTGCAGTTTCCTGTTCAATTTTTTTCTGTTTTTCTCTTGAATCAATTGCAGACATCTTGCGGTGTAGCACTGTTTTAATGGCTGATCTTGAATGACTACTGTTTCCATTACAAAAATCTAAAACGACACAAATTATCAAATCATCTTCTGTGTCTTTTAGTTTGTTTTTGTTTTTCTATCCAACCAAAAGCAGCAGCTAATATCATGTAAAACACTAGTCTTCATCTGAATCTGATACAGCTGATTGCTCCTGTATTTTTTTATTGTACATCTTAATAATATTTCTATGTTTTTCATAAGAATTTGAAGCAGAGATCTTGTGGTGTAAAACAGTTTTGATAGCTGGTAAGCGATGACGACTGTTGCTTTGACAAAAATCTGCAAGAATACAAAATTTACCTTTATCATTTTTTTAACCAAGGAAATGCTGTTAGTACCTGGTTTGCTTTTATGATGATGATGATGATGGATGGCGGCAAATTAAAATTTATATTCTCGACTAGAACAGGAATTTGAATATTAACTCTGCTTTGTATTAGACCACACGCTGAGCTGGATTTTTAACATGCTTGTTCAAAAAGGTAACAGTTTGCAGTAAGACATGTCATCCTACCCTGACACTGAGCCAACCAGTCTTTGCTGTTTCTCATTAATGCTACGTGCTTAGCAAGGAAGCAGCAAATATTAATTCTAATGTATTTATCTCGACCTGGCGGGTTTGAACCAGCAACCTCCCGAACTCAAGAACACTTTACCATGAGACCACCAAAGCTTTTATGAAACAAGTCTTTACTTTAAACAGGTCAAAAAAGGGAAAATTGGCATTGGACATTGGATGGTGATAGGGCTTCCATTGTTTCTCAAACTCAGCTTTAAAAAATCATTTTTTAGCTAAACTGTTTGGAAATTAAAGTTGATGTAAATGTGGAAATGACTTATATGCAAGTCAAAATGATAACATTACAAAAAAAAATTTCATAACAATTTTAATACTAAAACAAAAACATATCTTTATAACCATGATGCACTATAAAATCACTATATCTGTGAGAAACATTTAACAGAGGCTTATACAGAATCTTAAAATTCAATCTTTTAGATACATTCAGATAATATAAAATAATACAAAATCTGTCTGATATCAGTGTTCATACATATCAATTTTTTTTAATATTGTTAAAATATTGTCTTTATATTTTCATTAAAAGCTTCAAAACTGCAAAAACTGACAAAATAGCCTCAATTTGAGATCTTATCATTAGTATTAAGATATGAGCAATAGTCTTACCAAACAAATAATATACATAGTCATAAACAAATTGTTGAGTGTGCTTAATTAACTCTCAAAGAAAATTGGTACATCTAATGTATAATAAATAGTGATCATCTATACATGACGGTAATGTCTGCAATAACATACTGAAGTTTCCAAAAGCATACCATTGTTTGCAAAAACATAATTATGTCTGCAAAAACCTACTAATTAATGTTTGCAAAAACATACTATGTAATTTAGTCTCTGGTGGAGAGTTGTCTCATTGGCAATTATACCACATCTTCTTATTTTTATATTTGCTTTTAAACCTCACAAACATTTAAAATGTGGGAGGCTTCAATCCCTCCAAAAATAAACATGATGTCAACATACAGCATTTGACAATATACAAGCGTTTAAATCAAACTTTAAATAACATTACCTTTTTTTCTCTTCAAATTATGAATTAAAGCAGACGGAAACTTCTAACAAAATATAAAAAATAAACACCAAATTTTACAAAGGACAAAAAACATGGTCTATTTTTTGAATGATTAAAACTACTTTCAGACATCACATAACAAAGTCTATAAAAAAGTTATCCATACAAGGAAAAAATCATAGCAAAATTATAACTGAAGCAATCTAGTACAGAACAAATCATGATATTCATCTTTTAATTTGGGTGCAAAATACAAGCATGTATGTGAACAGCTCTGGTCTACCTGATCTCACTTTATTTTTGTAGGATTTAAAGTATTACCACCAAGGATTTGTATAGCGAGACTTTCACTATACAAATCCTTGTTACCACTTAATTTTTTTCCAAATTCTTGTATTTTCCTTATCATATTCCATAACTTATCATTGAAAAATCGATACACATTATCAAAATTTATGCATTCAAATTGTCATAGCTTTGTAGTTACTGAGGAGAGGATTGATGTAGAACAATAGAACTTACATCACTACATACAATAATCATGAGAAATTACTTCGACTCATCAGAGTTTTTGACACAACCGAGTTCGACATAACGAGTTTGACTGTATAACACAACCAAAAACAGGTAGTTTAGGATCAATGACATCACAACAAATATAGCCCAGTTGTCAAAGAAAAGTCAATTTAAAGATTTAAAGCATTTTCTTGACAATACATGGAATTTGGTCATTTAAAAAAAAAAAAAAACAACAAAAGCAGAATGCATGCAAGACCTGATTAAAATAGTTTGTCTATATACATGGAAAATTTCTAATACACAAATATGTGTCAAAACTATGTAATTTTTCCTTCTTTTTTTTTTCTTTAAATATAATTCATAATATTTTACAAGACCCTATAGTTAACACTATGCCTTCCTATAGTATCCATTATGATTATTTTGAAAAAACTCACATGAATTTTAGAAAAATTAGACTTCACAACTCCTCCTGTAGAGAACTTTTAATTTTTCTTAACAAAACAATATTTTTTTGTTTTTCACGAAAGTTTGTTGCAGAAATCTTGTGATGAAGAACAGCTTTGACAGCTGGTTTGGCATGACGACTGTTTCTTTGACAAAAATCTGCAAAAATATAAAAAATTTAGGTGTAATTTTGTAAACTGTATACAGTTTATACCCATCTATTACAGTTTTTGAAACAAAAAATGTCCTTTAATGGTAATAAATCCTATAACTTAGTGTGATAATTTTGCCAACTTTCTTGTATATCTTATATTTCTGATCGTTGTTCCTTTTTAAAGTTTCTCTATAACTCCCATAGATTTAGACCAAAAAAAATCTTCATTCAGGGGAAATAACTTCTATAAGGAGTCTGTTAACAATTTCAGACATGATGACTGATTTGTAGATCTTATTGTGCAGAACATTTCTGCTATATATTGTTGCTGTCTACCTTTCTGAATGTCTGCAACAAATCAACAAAAGGGGTAAAAATGGTCATTAAGGGGCAATAACTGCTTAAAGAAGTTATTTGACATTTTTGGCCATGTTGACTTATTTGTAGATCTGATTGTGCTTAACATCTTTCTATTTATAATTTCTCTTTATCTATAAAAGTTTCTACAAAAAAGGGGGAAAAAATGGATAAAAATCATCTGTCAATGGCAGTAACTCCTATAAGCAGTTAATTGACAATTTTGAACAAGTTAACTTATTTTGTTAAAATGAGTATATTTAGTCTTTCAAGGGCAATAACTCATAATAAGGAGTCCATTTAATTGATGATTCATCCATGTTTACTAATTTGTAGATCAAATTTATTAAACATATTAACCATCAAAAGATTCTCTCTCTCAACTACAGTCTCCTAAAATATTACAAAAAGGGTGAAAATCATCATTAAAGGCAATAACTATTATACAGGGTCATTTGATGATTAACTCCAAGTTGACTTTTGTAGATCTTATTGTTCTAGTCTATTTACTGTTAAAAATTTCTCTCTATTATAATTTAAAGATAATTACCAAAAACTGCATCATTTGCAAAAATTCTACATTTCCGGGACAATAATTCCAAAATGGGTTGTCAGATTTTTCTGAAAATTCTCCAGTAATTAAATAGACCTTGACCTACTGATCATTTTTACCCTGTCAAATTTGCTCTAGCTGCTTTAGTTTTGAGATATAAGCCAAAAACTGCATTTCACACCTATGTTCTTTTTTCAGCAACAACAGTCATGTTTGTTGATGGATCAAATTCCCGGATAAATTTTTTGAACAAGATACCCTAAGGAACATGCAGGTAAAATTTGGTAACATATGGCCCAGTAGTTTCAGAGGAGAATATTTAAAAAATAGTTTATGACAACTGATGGACAGACAATGACAACGGAGGCCAGGTGAGCTAAAATACATAGTCCAGATTCTGATGACATTTTTTTCTTCCATAAAAAGAAAGAGTAGACATAATGCAATAAATCATAAAAAAATAAACATACAAAGGTTGTACGCGTTTTAATATAAAGGCATAATCAGCATTTGTACAATGAAAATATATTTGCAATCTTAATATGAAAATGTTGATGACACTTTTTTTGTGATTTTTGTATTATTAATTCATTGTATACCGTTAAGACAGATTTTGGTATTATAAATTCATTGTATAAGACAGATTTTGGTATTATTAATTCATTGTATAAGACATATTAAAGCTAATCTTGACCATGCAAACATGGGGCTTGTATTTTCATATAAAGTTTTAAAAAGCAGAGTAATATGGCCAAAAAATGTAAAAACTGATGTCCAAGAATGTAGAACTACATTCTGTGGATTCACTATTATTTTTTGGATACCAATTTTGTAGAATTCATCAGTACAGGTGAACCAGAATTTAAATATTCAATGAATTACAAATTTTCTATAGTCTTGAATGCAGACTTTGTTAAAGAGAGGAGAAAGATACTAAAGAGATATTCAAAACCATGAAAACAAATACCCACAAAAATGCAATAAGTTCTGGTTTGAACGAGACAAAATATCACCAAAGTTAACAATATTTAAAAACCAATTTTTGAAGAATTCATCTTCACAGGTGAATCAGAATTTAAGTTTTCCAGGAATTACAAATTTTCTATAGGCTTGAATGCAGACTTTGTCAAAGAGAGGAGAAAGATATCAAATATACCAATATCAAATTAGGAAAGGAGAATTACAAATTGGGGTCAAACCTATCCCCAATTTGCAAAATCAAATTTTGAGTTTATGTATATTAATAAAAAATTGCAGTTTTTACTTAAAATATACCCTTTTCATGGGTTATAATATACAAACATAAAATGACCATGATGACAGGTTCAATAAAATAGTGAAATTCAACCAAAATTTCTACTACATGTATTTGACTCATCAATGTCACCAAATCTGTATAAGGGAGGAAAATTTAAAGAGGGTTACATAACAGTTATTTTGAAAAACTTGGCCTTGTAGTTTTAAAAAGTAAAATAACTAAAATACTGAACTCCAAAGAAAATTCAAAACGGAAAGTCCCTTATCAAATGGCAAAATCAAAAGCTCAAACACATCAAACAAATAGAAAACAACTGTCATATTCCTGACTTGGTATAGACATTTCCTTATGTAGAAAATAGTGGATTAAACCTGGTTTTATAGCTAGCTAAACCTCTCACTTGTGTGACTAAAGGAGATTTATTTCCTGACAAATCAGAATCACATACTGCCTCTAGCAGTCCATGCTGTATGAAATGGCAAATTTTTATAAAAGATCATCCCAAAGCAATATATCTGTTTTTTCATTAAAGGTTTTTCATCTATAAATGTAAGAGGAGATAATAAAATGAAAATATGGACAAGAAAGTACCAAATAAGGATGGAAGATGGACATTAAGTGATGGTATTAGCTAGCAATATCTCCTTTTGATCAATTGATCTAAATGGCAATAAATATATTACAAATTCACAAAGCTGTTCAAACAGAAAAACATTCATAAGGAAAAATAACTCTTACAAAATTCTTAAGGAAAGATAACTCTTGCAAAATTTTACAAAACTCAACAAATGCCCATCCATAGTTGTGTACTTTTCCATAATATTATCTTTTCAAGGAAAAATATATAGAAAAAAGAAAATGTAGTAAGCGACAAATATAATATAAAATAATATAATGAACATGATGAAAATGTGTCACAATTAAAGTATATAATTCTGGATCAAATATTTATTTAATACTACTCTTGTCTTATGTTGGTGACCATCTACAGCTTCAAGGTTTAAGTAACTGTACATGCACACAAAATACATGACATATACACAGAGTAATTCTTCATTTCTCTTAAATAATATTTTTTTAAAGTCATGTGAATTCCTTGCATTTTTTTACATAATTTTCGTTGACAACACAGAAACAATATCACTAATGTATTTCCTATAGAAGATTTCTTTTTTTCATTTTCCACCAAAATCCTCATGAATTGCATTTATTTTCTTCATTCGCTGTTTTGCACGACATGTAATGGATGTTATCTTCTGTGCAAGTGCAGCACGAACTAAAGGTCTTCCATGGCGACCTGTGACACAACAAAAATCTACAATGACACAGTAAACAAGGAATTGTACTTTCACTAAAAAATAGATGTCCAGTGGCAAATATTTCATGCATGTTCACTATTAATGGAAATAACTACATTATAGTTAGATTATGTTCCTGTTTTGTATTTTCTTATTATGTCCACCATTGCACTTTGGTGTTCAATCTTTCGCTTTTCATGTGTGGTTCTAGCTGATACACCACGATGGAGAGCACATTTCACTTGAGACTTGCTGTGTTTACTATTTGAAGTACAAAATTCTGCAAGAACATAATTACATGCATATGTATGAATTTATAAATAAAGCAAACACCTTGCTGTTATATAAAAAAAAGTAAGAAGCACATAATGTACAAACTGAAACTTACAATTTCATGTAAAAGAGGGTAACATTACAAATGGTGGCTTACTTATGAATTTTCTCTATAAAAACAAGAAGATGTGGTATGATTGCTAATTAATGAGACAACTCTCCACCAGAGACCAAATGACGTAGAAGTGATCAACTATAGGTCACTGTATGCCCTTCAACAATGAGCAAAACCAATACTGTACAGCAAGTCATAAAAGGCCCCAAAATGACAAATGTAAAACAATAACGAGATAACAAACGGCCTGTTTTATGTACAAAGCAATAAACAAAAAACAAATATGATATACAGCAACAAATGTCAACCACTGAATTACAGGCTCCTGAATTGGGACAGGCACATACAGGAAGATCTGACTTCATTCATCTGGTTAACTCTTCTGTATGAATATCTACTTTCATTTGTAAAGATATGATAAACTAAACTTAACTGATTCAATTTCACGAAAAACTACCTTTATTGTACATGGCCATTTATAAGTTCTAAAGAAGTATTTTCTATTTATTTCATTCTTTACATTTCAGATTGGATCAAACAATACACCCCAAAGGCTTAAAAATTGGAATTTGCTGCTTCTCAGCTAAGCATGCAGACCTTAGGAGTAAGAGCATAAACAAAACAAAAATACAAAAGAAGAGGTAGTGCATATCATTAACACATTCTCCTCATATAAATAAGAGGATCCAAGGAGCATGTATCACTCACCTGGCTTTTAAGCATAATACTTATTAATGTTCATATAGGATTTTTATAAAGAATGTGTTCCTTTACTGGCTGACTGGGCCTTAAAAATGCAGAAAATTCCTAATGAAACTCAAGACAAATAAGCTTAAGCAGGGGTTCCCCTATCCAGTTTAACTTAGTCTTTTTTGGGAATTTCATCAAAAATAAAACTTATATATATATATATATATATATGCATGTGTCATGTGCCCAAATATCAACATAATATCTTCTTTGCTTGTTAGAGTGTACAGACTCAAAGGGAAAGGTTGCACACAATGGTCTATGTTGAACAATTTTAAAATTATGCAGAAATATAAAACGTTAAAAATGGGGGGAAATCTTTAAAAAAAGACCATATTTTCCAAATCTGGAAAAAATGGACAGAAAATCCTCAAACAATTACATCTAATAGCAGGTGCATA